CCCTAACCCTAACCCTAACCCTAACCCTAACCCTAACCCTAACCCTAACCCTAACCCAACACTAACCCTAACCCTAACCCTAACCCTAACCCTAACCCTAACCCTAACCCTAACCCTAACCCTAACCCTAACCCTAACCCTAACCCTAACCCTAACCCTAACCCTAACCCTAACCCTAACCCTAACCCTAACCCTAACCCTAACCCTAACCCTAACCCTAACCCTAACCCTAACCCTAACCCTAAGACTGAGTAATCACTTGAGCACATTTAACTCCAAGTCAAAATCTGTAGAAAGTGAACAGAGGACCCTGGCGTGTTCGGTGGATACTGAAAGGGGCTCGTACTGGCTGGAATAGGGGAGTGCAACAATCCCCACACAGTCGCTTCAGTTCTCATGGAGTATTCACTTGAGCACATTAATTATCAGTCGAAATCCTTAGAAACTGAACGCGGCACTCTGGTGTGTTCGGTGGATTCTGAAAGGGACTGGTGATAGCCGGAATGGGGGAGGACAACAAACCCCATCCCACTCGCATTAGTGCTGAGTGAGGAATCACTTGATCAGATATTGCTCCAAGTCGAAATTAGTAGAAACTCAACGATGGACTCTGGCGAATTTGATGGGTACTGAATCAGACTCGTAATGAGTGGAACAGGGGAGTCCAACAATCCCCATCCCACTCACTCCAGTTCCGAGTGAATCATGACTTAATCACACTTAGCTACTCGTCAAAATCAGCAGAAACTCAACGGCGGACTCTGATGAGTTTGGTGGGTACTGAAAAAGACTTGTAATAGCTGGAATGGTGGAGCCTGACAAGTGTCAAGACAGTTGAATCAATTCTGAGACAGTAATCACTTGACTACATTTAAATAGCAGTCGGAACCTGTAGAAAGTGAACGGAGGACTCCGATGTGCTTGGTCAATACTGAAACAGGCTCACCATGGCTAGAAATGGGAACCTGATGCCTGTGTTCTGTATAGTCATTTGGGGATATGACACACCACTTGGTCAAATTAGCATAAAGCTGCAGGGCAATGAGCATGAAGAAATGCGGAGCTTGAATATTCAGACTCAGCAGCGGAGTGTGAGCGATTGGTATATATAGAGATCCAATGGATTGAGGGATGCACAACAAGATGCCTTGCGTGCGAAGGCAGAGATCCATCCTCAGGAAGTGTATGTTCCAAGTAAGATTAATGACTTCAAAGCGCGGAAGCAAGAGAAAGTGATTAGCTGACGATTGCGGCGATGTAGACAGGTGATACAGTGGGATGCAGAGAGCAGGTTGATGTCAGCAACATGGAGCAATGGGTCCTAGGACATCTCAAGGCAAGTCCCTAGGCATGCTGACCATGCTAAACCACGCACTGACCACAGGCCATGCTAAGCAGAATATCGAGCGGAACTCGAATGGAGTCCTGATCTATGAGGTGATGCTGCATCAGACGGAGAAGATAGCGTATTATCCCGCGCGAGATTTGTACGATCCGGCGCGAGTTGCAAGCAGGAACCAGAGGGTTCGTTTTCAGGGGTGCGAGGCGGAAGAAGCGCAGGCAGGCCTGTGGGAGTCCCTAAGAGGGCCGCACTGGTGAAATGACGACGCCAATCGGGAACGATTAAGGGAGTACAGCAATGCAGCAGATGGAGCACAACATTGAGCTGTCGATGCGTGCATTTGGAGGCAGCGCGTGATCATAGTGACGGGCCTCAACTCGAGCATATAGCCATGTCGGATTGCAAAGCCGTGGTCGGTCACCGAGAAACCAAAGGACCGTATAGTTACGGAGATGACGCCATCTGGTCATGAGTCCTTTACCCAGTGCCAAGTATTTCGGAACCTAGCAACGCCGGCGGATCCGTAAAGTTACGGTTGGTAGAGCTGCTGTCCGTGAAGTTACGGCCCATAGCCATAGAGGCGATCCGCACTAACTCTACGGACCGTAAATTTACGTGCATGTGGGCCGCAGCTGTAGGAGCCGTAAAGTTACGGACGCGTTGGACGTTCACTTCACGGACCGTGACTATCTTTACGGGCCGTAACTTTACGGACGTATGAGCAACTGCACCACAGACGGAGTGACCAGGCCAGTACTATGTATTCACGGACACAAGATCATGTCGACAGAACAATCATGCTGTGTGTAGATACAGTGTGTTATCACAAGCACTGCGCGTTCTTCCGACGCTTGGCGGGACGCTCAGATCCCTCAGGTGCGACCTCGCTGACAGCTCTTGTGGTTATGTTGACACCCACTGGGGCAGTGAGGACACCGGCCTTTACCATTCGGGCGGCTTGAGCAGGCCCGACGATATCTCTGATAGCTGTGTATGGTCCTGCGTCGGGATCTTTCATGGTAGCCACGAAGGAATGCCACAATGCCTCAAGCTCCCTGTAGGACTTGAAGCACCACTGGCCAGAGGCAGAGGTCCGCAAAGCGAACTGCGCTGGACCAGCAGTTCTATTCCCTCCTCCACCGAAGAGACGGGCGCCGCCGCTTGTGCGAGCAAGTCCGAGACGAACCATGTTGTACCAAACGATGTATTTGTGAGCTGCGGCGCGAATGCGTGAGGGGGCAGGAGAGACGTCGATTAGCTGGAGATGGAGACGTACCACACTTGATTCCCAGCACACTGTAAGGCCCCTTTCCGCTTACCAGGACCTTCTTGTAGAGAGGGCTAGCGGTCTCGACACATGCGAGCACATACACGGTGAAGATGGCCAGATATGGACGCTGGAGAGAGCTTCCTGAGTGAGTCGCAGGAAGCCACTCGGAGTTTCTAATGATATCATCGATGTCTTTTGGATTCATAGAGTCGATGTTGTCTGGAGCGTCCCGGAGCATGGCCATGACATTTGGGGCCTGCAATGCAAATATTGCTGAATAGAAGACGACAAGCTTGTGAACAGGATTAGTCATGTCGATGTTGTGCTCGACCCATTTGATTGTTTCATCCTGGATGGCCTTGTCGGAATTGGCAGAGGGAGCGTTGGCTTTGGGTTTTGAAGCCTGCTTGGTGGTGGAGCCAAGGGCATCTGACATGCGAAAGTCCTCGGGGAGGACGTCCTTGTGGAGGAGATGCGGCCAATCATCGACAGGGGATGACAGAATGGACCAGGGGGACCTGCTGTCCTCGATCTCATCTGGCTCAAGGCCGTCGAGAACCGACTGTGGTGTGAAGACGTCGACAAGGCCTGTTCCTGGCTCCTGAGGCTGTCCCAATGAGACCCAGTGGTATGCACTTGCCTTGGTGATTGGGCGACCGCGATCGGACAGGGAAGGGGGATGAGTGGGAAGGTAATGGATCTGAAGGTCGCTCAGAGTGATTCGAATGATTTTGATGATATCGGAAGAGTGTGAGCTGTCTGTGGATCTTGAGAGCGCATCATTGAACAAGGCAGTAATGAATGAGATGGCCTGACGCAGTCCATATGGAGAAGAGCCTGTGGGAGGCAAGGGTGAGTCGTGGCGAGCGTCTCCTGTGGATGACCCGAGGGTCAGTAAGGCGGAGGCGCAATCCGTGAGGGTGATGTGCTTTGGGTCACCGAACGGGAGGGATCGGAGGGGAGGCTCATTGGGTTTCCTCAGCATGAGTGTGAGGATGGATCGCGCGCTCGGTGCGAGAGGATGAGGTGATTCGCGCCACATCTTTAGCTGCACCGATGTGATGTTAAATGCGAGCTTGCGAAGAACCTCACTTTGAGACTGCAGAAGGGGAAGCCAAGTCTTCTGGATCTCTGTTGCGACGAAGGCCACGATGTCGCGTTGCATGATGCCGATGAAGACGTGCATCACTGAGAGGGCTCTGTTGTAGGGGAACTCATAAGCCTCTGCCATCTTGACATTAGTGCAGTGAATGGCGTGATGCAGGGTGAACATGGCCATGTAGCTCTGAAAAGATTGTCAGCAAAGATGAACGAACCAATGACCGTAAAATTACGGCCCGTGGCATGCGTGTGCCCGCGCGGAAGTGCTGGACGACAGCGCAATGGAAGGGCCGTAAAATTACGGTGCGAGTGGTTGTGGAGTCACGAGTCATGGCCCTCGTTTGTCGGTGAACTCTCACCTGGTAATGCTCATCACGATAAGTAAGAAGCTGTGCCCTAGCCGAGGACATGCACGGAACGGACTTGACCGTGGGCCATTGGTCTGGATCGATAGAGACTGTGACTGACCCATTTGCGGAGGACCATGTAACGTTCTTGCGATTGAGACAAGGTGTCCCGTCGACGATGAGTCCACGGCCAATATGTAAGGGATTCATGACTCCTGTCTCGATCACCCGTCTATTCCCGGTATGGGCGAAGTTGAGAGCACGCTCGAGACAGGACAGGAGCTCAATGTGATAAAGCGGAGGGGTGGCCGCCGCGCCATCAGTGGATCCGGTGTCGATGGGTATGCCGTTGTGGTCCATTTTAGCCATTATCTCCGCTCGCACTGTCTCAATAAGTGAAGTGAGCGGGAATGTCATAACACTGTAGAGCTTTGGAAAAGTCTATAGGGCATCCCATGGTGAGACTCAAATGAGAGTTGAGCATGTCATGAATCACATACTCCAGGAGTAAAGACATATAGAGTCTCGCAAATTTGATCGAAGACGTCAGGAGTTCTAAGGTGGAGAACAATGGAGGCAATCACATCGAATGCAACACTATATGGGTGTGAGGGGAAGTGGAATGAGCAATCAACAAATGGCTTACGGACCTTGACCTGTCAACGTCGGGGGCGAGACGCTCCCAGTTTAGTACGAAGGTCTGTTCAAACCGAAAGGAGACATCGAGATTGGGAGCGCTGATCTTGCGATTGAAAGCTTCATGAGGGAGGCATGCAGCAAGGCGGGCGGCTGTCTGCTGTGCGATGCGTTTAGTTCTGGCTCCTTTCCCGAGTGCTCCAGTGAACTGCCTTGTGTTGAGACCGAGCTCAGCGTCGTGAAAAGCGGTGCGGGATCGATAGCTATGTGCGGCCTCATTGTAGGCCTGGCAGAATGTGCCCTGAATGAACGAGTTTGCCCATATGGGGAGGTCGTCGTCGCCAGCTGGTTGCCACACCTCGAGGTGCTGATCCATGTAGTCCAAGTTGATATCTTGAACACATCTCTTGAACGCGTCTGGCACCGTGTGTATTGATGCATGGCCAGCTGTTCCCAGGAAGGCGTGTGGGAACAGGGAGGGCTTGACTTTACCTAGAGGTGCAGCACGGGCGGCAGCACGAAAGCGAGGATGGATGCCTCTGGCAGCGCGATGCATGTCCCGGCTCGGGTCGTCGACATCGGAGGCACCGTCGCTACTGTCATCTTCGCCGTCGGTCTCGCCGTATTCCCGCTGAACAGTTCCGCGAAAGAGATCGGGGAATCGGCCGAGATTGGCAAGAGTGCCACAGGGGGTATCTTTGAACTCGAGATGGTGTGCTGGAATAGGGGTTCCTTGGTTGTCGAAGATGGGAGTTACCTCAAGGTCGATGTCGGCGAGATCATCGATAAGATTAAGTCCCTCGTCAAAGACACCATCTGGATTGGAGTCAATGATGTCCTCCACAGCGATGGGGATCTTCTCCGAGATCTCCCTCACACTGTGGAGAGCATGAGTGCACTGAAAGCGGTCTGAGCGTACGTCCAATAGCGTACCTAATTCCATGTGCGATCGAGAACATGGATGTTGCCACCTCATTCCAGTTGTAGGCCTTTCTCCAATCCGTGGCCTCATTAGCAAAGTTAACGGAGCCGAGAGGTGCGTTCTGGCCATAGCCCTCCATGAAAAGGAGAGGGGAGTTGTCAGTAATGAAGTCGTTCTTGAAGTGACTCGGTGCCGCCTCAACCCAGGCAGTCCAGTCTCTCTTCATGACCATTGCCAGCCTGCGTGCGTAGACGAGGGATATGTTCCATTGATAAGTTTCGACGCTGCAACAGGCGTCAGCGCAAGCCGGCTGGACAAAGAATAGAGAAAGGACGTGCACCGTAACTTTACGGCGAAGTTTCTTCGCCGTAAAGTTACGGCTGTGGGTGCTGGGATGAACGGGCGTACTGTAGCATCACGGGCAGGGACGAGGACCGTAAAATTACGGCGAGGATGGGAGACAGGAGGGGAGTGAGGGTTAGGGACAGCATAGACTCACCCCATGGACGTTGCGTGCTTGTACTCGTCCGAGTTGTCGATATGGGGGTATTTGTTATAGACAGCGACGCCGGGAAGGATCTCAGCGAGGCAGTGGGCGATGAACATGGCCCATCTGCGAAAGTTTCCCAAGGCCATGAGGGAGCTGGATGAGGCGTATGGCTTTGAATCAGATGGTGCTTGGATGCCGGCGATGTAGGCGTTAGGAGCGAAGACAGTCCACCAGCGAAGGTCGGCGGCGTAGCCCATGTAGGCAACCCTTCCGGAGATATTGAACCCGATGGGAGGGTCGGCGAGCCTGAGATACCAGTGGGGCTTAGATAGATCGAGATGATACTGCCAGCCCATTCCTGAGCTCTGAGGAATGCCGACGTCGATGCCAATGCCTCTGCCAAGAATGAAATGGCAGTCGAGATAGTTCGCGTGCTGAAAGAACTGGACGGAGTCCAGGCCATTAGCCTGAACTGTTTTTGTTGCATCTAGAAGGATGTTGGACCTCCATCGGCGCTGGAGGATATTAGAAGCCTCATGGCCTCGCCCTCGATCAAAGAGATCTTCCAAGCGGCGGTAGGTTACCTGAATGGGGGTGCGGTCGCTAAATGAGCGATCGGTGCTCTGAGCACCTCGACGGCCGTGAACAATGACGCTCTCGCGAAATGCGTCCTCGCCGGGAGGCAAGAACGACGCCATTCCAGCAGGGATGATATTGGACCCATGGCTGGCGAAGGATTGATAGCCTGGCCCAGAGGCGGAGTGAGCGTTGAGATCATCCGGGTCGACAGGGAGAGCAGGGTCTAAAGCGTCGACGAAGATGCCATCCGCAATGCTGAGGCGCCAGAATAATATGAGCAGGAGAAAGAAACGGGGGCAGAGAGTCGCTCACTTGACTTGGTCCTCGAGGTCTAGGTTTGTCTGCACGGCACGAGAGATGTCGATAGAAGTCATTCTCTTGAAATGCAGAAAACAAAGATGCGGACTGGATAGCTGGGGACGGGCTTGTGAACGCAAGTCGGAAACGAGGCAATGAAGACGGGGATGCTAGGCGAAGTGGGTGGTGATAGCTCGGCAGTCGGGCCCTGAAAGCGATCGGAAGAGCGGCGATGGTCAATATATGAATGATGAGAGAAACACTAATGTTGACCCGATGCACGATTAGATCTGACACGAGAAGCCGGATCCCTCTGCGAGCCGTATGATTTGACGCCTGCAGCCGTAGCCCAGACGACGCTGACGCTGGCTGCAGCCGACATGCGATATTACGGGTGTCCCCGTGCGACAGCCCATTAGGGTCAGCATGGGGGGGACCCCATTCGCCGTAATGTTACGGTCCCGAATGTGCGAGCCATCGCCGCGGAGGCGAAGACTGTAAAGTTACGGCGGGCTTTTCCGGACGTCGGCGTGTCGCCGGCCGGCAATCGACAGCGACTGGAGCCACGATATGCCCATCGACCGTACACTATTGAACTCCTCATCATGACCACACCAGAGCCACAGGCCGTGGAGTCTCCGGAAACAAAGCAGAAGGAGGAGAAACAGATGCCGATGAGCGAGCAATCTGTCTGTGTTCAAGGCCCTGGGCCGGCAGTAAGCATTTCGAGATAAATGCTAGTCTCTGGATTACATGGGATGTTGCGTAGGGTCATGGACAGCGACTGAACAGGAGGAACTCAGGGATAGGCGTAGCCAGGCATTCGGGCGAGTTGAGAACGGAGTGTATGCAAGTAACCCAAGATGCTAGTCTGCCTGATGCGGTTATTGGAGTTCGTCAAGTTGACGCTGCAGATTGCTCATTCAAAGTCCAGGAGCAGAGGGATCCGATCTCGCATCTCCCAGTAAGAATCTGGGAGCCATGATGCATAGCGCGACTCGAACATAATGTTGCACAGGTCGCTCAGGTTAGTAGGGGCACACAACTCCTCGCTGGTCGTCGTCGTCAGCGTGCCCTCGAGCAGCTACTGCTGGAGGTAGCTCAAGAGTGTCTGAGTGCGCGCGACGCTGAAAGTGAGCGCGATGAAGAGACGGCGCACGCTGGTGTGTGATGAGGGACGGCAGCGGGGTATGTACAATAGGGACTGGGGTACAACTGTGGTTGTCAGGGATGCATGTTGGGCTCGAGACCCCTCTAATATGAGCTCGGTACTCCCCCTTGCCTCGTGTGAGCCAGGTTAGGGATGGATATCAGCGTGATACTATGCTGGGGGTCGACTGCGTCGATCCCCTTGCCTGAGATACATCGCGGCAGGCTGGAGTGCGGGAGACGTCAGGTGATAGTGTGGTCCACCGCACTCAAAGGTACCGTAACATTACGGTGCGTGTTACGAACCTACGGCGCTCATGTGTACCGTAACATTACGGTGCGTATGGGTAACGCAGGCCACTGAGGCACAGAGTGACATTGCGGCGCGACCGTAATGTTACGGTGCAAGCGTAATGTTACGATAATACCGTAATGTTACGGCGCGACCGTAATGTTACGGACCTCTGCATTGCCAACAGATATATGGACTGTCAATCGAGAAACCGATGGGTTGACCTGCAGGCTTAGATCGATAAATCTCTCGGCGATCGCCGCAACGCCTCGAGGTTGCCTCATGGTAGTCGAGCGACGACAGGGTCACGGTGCTCGCGCCCTTCCCTTCATCGTCGCTCTCACCTCCTCTGAACGAGTGCGAGATACACTTGTAACTCAGGAATCTAAGCAAGTCCCGACTTCTCAAGCAATCGATACATCGAAATGGCACCGAAAGCATCCAACAAGACCACCAAGGTCCCAAAGAGACTGAAGGACCTCGACGGCCCGGTGCGTCCCTTCATCTCATGTCTCGCAGATACTCAATTTGCTTTCCAGCTCTCAGAGCAATTCATCAATGACCTCTCGAACATCCGGACCGTTCAAAACAACAGTCTCGTCGGCTTCGGGAAGGCAGACATTACTGACGGACTCCTCGAGTATGGTACGATCAATCCGCGCAGCGCTAATGAAGTCGTCGTGCAGCAGATCGCGGAGGAGCTCGTGGCGGCGGGCATCGCTCCGGGGGAGGAACACGTCGTGCCGATCCTCATTGACAGCCCCGATGACATAGAAATTGCGCATCCGGGCAAACTGTGGCCGGTCGGCGTCACCACCGCGGAAGACGCGGGCTTGACGGAGGGTGTACGTCCGACATATCTATACAATAACCATATGGTATGCTAAGACATCGCTTAGGTTGACTACGCCCACGACTTCATTCGTCGTCCGAGCGGTCTCGCTCAGCGCTACCCCTCCAATGCGGTGAAGAACCCGCTCGATCACCTGCCCCTCGCCCGCTTCAAGAAGGTGGCCTTCCCCGGTGGAGGTAACCATCGTCAACTGGCCCTTCGTCTCGCGCGCGCATGGCTCGCAGAGCTTATCAACGACTGCATCGAGATTATCAACAGTGCTCAGGAAGGCTCCAAAGCAAAGAATAAGGCGACCAAAGAGCAGGTTGCGAAAGCAGAGGCGAGGCTCGCGGGCTGGAAGATGCGACAGGAGGAGTTGGCTGCATGGCCAGTGGTCATATATGAGAAGAGTAAGTGTCATGGCAGCTGCTTCACTGCTCGCTCACTATATACTTGCCTCGCAGAGTACTGGAATAGCACAGTGCAGCAGGTCACATTGGCGTCGAACCGCAAGTTCTCTGAGCAGGCCGAGACAGCCAACGAGGCCGCCATCACCCTCCTCAAGCTTATGGCCGACGCAAAGAGGCTCAATAAGACCCAGGATGATCTTCGCGATCGCATGAATTATCAATTTCGCAATGACGCACGTTTCCGACGAACGTTCAACTCGCCCCTTCTCATGAAGCCCACCCTCGCCCTCTCGCTTTATCCCGCGTACCTCCATACGAAGTCTCTCGATTTCCTGTGGCTCAACGCTAACTGCATGGTCGCGCAGAAACCCGACGTCGCCATCGCCGGTAGCGGGGTGAGCAGTATCAGCCTTCATATTCGTACCAAGAGGCGCTCACAATCTCCTCCTTCCATGCCATAGTTCTATATCACTGCCCTCGAGCAGGCCGTCGTCATGCTCGACGACCTATGCTGCGACGTGGAGTGGAACTCGGACCCTCAGCACATCCTTCAGATGGCCACCGTCCGCCGCCTCAAGCAGAAGAAGAGGAGAACCGATGAGGACGAGGAGAGACTCGCAGTCACCGAAGCCGCTGTCGCCACGTTCAAGCAGAAGATTCGTCGCAGCAACCGCACCGTCAATCACTATGTAATCACAAACGACATCCTCGACATCATCGACGACGCTTACGTGAAGCATATCCGCCCCCACTTTCAGAAGTACTGGTGGACGTTCGCGGACCCGCAAGACGAGGACTATGAGGCCGTCAAGACCTCACAGAAGTTGTACATCGAGGACATCATCGGGAAGCTCCCCGATCGCATGAAGTCCGCGCCAACGGGAGATCCGGCATCGATGAGGTCCGGCGAGCGCACATATGGCTTCTTCGCGGAGCGCCTCCGATTTGTCTGCGGCGGTGACCACGACGATCGCCCTTTCCTTCCCTTATGGTGCTCCTCTCTTCAGCAGGACGTCGCCGCAGCGTTCGATCCCCTCGCTCTCGCAGTTACCGAGGTAAGTAAACATCTCATTTCTAGTTAGCGTTGCCGTACTTTTACGGCGCTCGGACCACCACACATAGTGAGACGTTGTCCCTCGCACCGTAATGTTACGGCGACGCGGGCTGCAGCATTGGGTTACGATAAGCGGCGCGGGCTATCGTCGCCTCAGTCTTATCGTAGCTAAGCCGTAATTTTACGGTACATGTCTCGTGTCTCGCTACAGTGCTCTAACTCTGCTTTGTAGATCATTAACGAACTCGACAATATGTTCTGGGATGAGACGGTCACGGCTGGGAGCAACGACAACTCCGCCCGCGACCCTTCATATGCTATGATTTACTTCCTCAAAGCTCGGAACGTCACCGACGACGGCGTGCGCCAGGTGCAGTGCCTTCCTTTACTCTGCTGACGCGATCTGACACATACCACTTAGTTTATGCAATTCTTACTTATACACCGAAGCAACCTCCTCGTTGCCATCCAAAGCATCGTCAAGCCCCACTCCGTCGCAATCTTGAAGAGCTTTCAAAAGGCTGCCCGGAACGAGCGTCTCAAGGAACTCCCCGAGGTCGATCGCAACATTATCTCAGAGTACATCGGCCACCTTGCGCCTGTCTTTGAAAAGGCTCACAGTCGCACGGTCATGGACGCCCTCTTCGACGACCTCGTCGATGGCGTCAAGAATGCCGTTCGCACCACACCCGCCCTCGCCATCGCTTACCAGACGGCTTATCGTCCCACCTCCAAGCTCGCGGGCAAGAAGTTATTCACGCAGCTCATGGAGATAGCTCTGGTGCGTGCCTCCAACCTCTCTTATAGGCGCACTCTCTTCGCACAACAGGCATTTCGATTCCTTCGTCTCGGCATGCACAACATTCTCACTTCGATCATTCCCGGCTGGTTCTGGCCCGACTGCCTGCCGTCTGTCCCGTTCCCCACGAATCTCGTCGACCCCGCATTCAAACTTCCCCCCCGCACGAGGGTCGTCTTCTCCAACGACGATCGAAAGTACGAGGACATTCAGAAGGCATGGCTGAAGCTCCGTCATGACCTCGAAAGATGTCCTTTGCTGTGGTCAGTCCCCGACTTCACGAAACGCGCTAAGGCCACGGGCATGAATATGGCGCTCGCGGGTCACACCGCATCTTGGCTCAAGGTATGTGTCGCGTCTAACACATCTTTCTCATTACCAACATTACACTATCTTGTATCTACATAGAGAGTCTGGGTGCAGTCGCATACCGCTGCGATGCTCCCCTTCGTTCCCGACTGCCCCGAGATTGGCTTCCAGGCTGGTCTATCCGGAACATCGAAGGCCGCGGACGACGATGAGCCGACCCAATCGGATGTAGACAATCAGGAGTACATTCCCGTCACCGGACCCGGCCTCGACTCGGAAGATGACAGCAACGCGGCCGTCCGCGACGATCGCCGCAAGACTCTTCGCCAGCGAAAGGGCAAGGACACGCACGACGGCGGCGAGAAGACACGCAACCGCGCTGCGACAGGGAAGACCGACAAAGGTAAGGGTCGGGCACTACCCGAGCAAGATCAGACAGAAGGGGAGGACGTCGAGGAGGACCGGGAAGCAGGCCCCGCGACCGGCGACGACGACGACATCCAGGACGTCGTTATGCGCGAGCCCTCGCCAGGTGCAGCAGGACCGTCTGCTGCTGCTCAGCAGCTGAAGAGAGGTCGCTCGAGCACGAACGAGTCCCGAAGCAGTGGCAAGAGTCCGCGCCATCACAGGAAGAAGGCCCGAAACATCGACGCGCAGTCCTCGGATGACGAGCGAGAGTCGGCCTTGCCCAGGAGGCCCGTTCCCAAGCGCGCGTACGGCAAGCACAGTAAGGGCCAGCGTGCCTCCCTCGAACCCTTCGCGTTGTCTCGTCGCGATCACTCCCAAGAGCGTCCAGCCTCTGACATGCTCGTTGTCGACTTGCCTCGGCTCAGAGTGGGTCAGACGTCGGCCTACGCACCTCTCAGCAACGCAGCCGCGGGCGACTCTTCTGATGAGGACCATACGGCGAGGCCGAGCTCAATGCAGGACATGCCAATGTCGCGCCGCCCCGAGGACATCGTCAACACTGCTGTCGCAGACGACCGAGCCGGTCTCGCGATCAAGAAAGAGCTTGTGGATGATCCAAGCCTCTTGAGTGGCGCAGGTGAGTCTTACCGCCGTAACTTTACGGCTCCCGCTGACTACTGGCCCTGGACTCAGATCGCGACTGGCGTATTGGTACGTCACCACTTCTCTCGCCGTACATTTACGGCGTTCCATTATAACGTCTCTCCTAGCGTCACATATCATTTCATCTCAAGCCAGTGAGTAAAGCCGTAACTTTACGGCAGTCCACAACATTAATCTCTCATCCAGATCCTATCGACTTGACTGGAGGTAAGGACACCGTAATATTACGGTCCAAATACTCATCGCCGTGTCTCATGACAGATGTCGCGGATGCCGCAACGACTGCGTCCCGGCGCAACCTCGTCGAGCCCTCTCAAGGTAGGTTTGGTTGTCCTTCCCTTGGCCCAGCTGACCTTCGCCGTCAGACATTGTGCCCGAGACGTCACAGGCGCAATCGCCTGCTCTCGCCTCGCAGCTGTCTGAGTTCCCGGAGTCTTCGCAGCTGGAACCTGGAGCCGCGCTGTCGCAGATCTCGGACGTGCCAAACCTCTCTCAAGCCCGAGGGGGTATCCGACTGTCCCAAGACTCGTTTGGTGGCTGGTCATCACAAGGCTTCTCGACGCAGGGTGCGTGACTGCCACCCCAGCACTCACATCACTCACTGGCGTATCCTTCCCTAGAGAGCATCCAATCGAGCTCCCGCGACTTCAGTGGTGCGTCTTCTGCCGCATCACCTGCGGCACAGCTTGACCCTCGCTCGCCAACCCTCTATAAAGCACTACTCCCTCCCGGACAGCGCTCGTCATCGTCAAGGGCAGCTACGGGCGGTGGCTCCGTGGCCACCGCGACTGCTTCGCGGGTGCCCCCCGTCGCTGAGTCGTGGCTGGCTTCCCGTCCACGCTCTCAGGCACCCAAATACGATTACTTTGGCCTCGCTAGCGCGACACAAGGTCCGCACACGCATTGTTTTGCCCGTCCTTCCGTCTGCAAGCCACTAACCATCCCTGCAGCGTCCTCTTCAGCCGACGAGCTCACGGCCGGCGAGCAACAGCCTCGCCCTCCGTCGTCGTCACCCCCCCCGCTACCTCCCCATCAGGAAGCGTCACCACCCTCCTCACAGCCCTCGCGCGCGCACGCTCACCGTCCCGCCTTTAACCAGCAGCGCCCTCTTCAAGACCTTCCGGAGGACGAAATACCTTACTTCCCTCCCGACGAGATCGAGCCTGAGCAGCAGCCCACTCGGCACGAGGCAGGGCAACGTCACTCCTCCCTTCCTCCGGCGACATCTGTGACTCCCGCTCCTCCAGAGCGTCCAGCGACTGCCTTGAGGACACGGTCTGCGTCTAGACAGCGCTCGATTGCGCCGCAGACTGCGGGGCATACGCTCGGCCAGTACGCGAGACCGTCGACGCGCTCCGCGACTAGGGCGACATCCGCCCAACCGGAGGCGGGCTCGTCGAAAGGCAAGGGTCGCGCCCGTTGAGGTAAGGGGGATTGTAAGCATCATGTCTGGTTCCTTCCGCATCACGCACCGTGGTCTCTGTTTGCTTCTCGCCTGATACTCGCATTATTGTACTGCATGACGCCGTCATGATAATCCAATCCTCGTATTGTACAGCCCACATCATCCCTCTACCGTCTCTCTCCAAATAATGCTTTGTGTTATCTCCTGTCGCCTGGAATGATACACTTTTCGCTGTTGCTGTACGGATACGTCGTAAGATTACGGATCATCAAGTTCCGACGTGGCACTGTCATCTTTACACGACTTCTAGGATGTGGACAGGCCGTAATGTTACGGTGATACAGCTCGCAAGTATGCGCCGCTCGATCTCTCATGAGGCTACACAACCGTAAAATTACGGCGCGCTGTGCCAACTCTCTGAGCTACCGCGTCCTCGCTCTGCATTACGTAAGCCGTTGCCACGCCGATCATGGTATATGCTAGTCATGTGCATGCAAGGGGATTTGCTCGCAAATCATAACACCGTGCAGCACGACATGTTGTCCTGTTGTTTGGCACAGCTGGTGCAACATGCACACCAACCTTGCATTCATGCAGCTCAAATTATTGCATTTCATGACATGCTGTTTGACAGGTAAGGCATGTAAAAAAGGTATGATCAGTTTTGAAACCTTTCCAGGCGCAATGTGAGGATATTTAATGCTATGTAGCAACCGATAGCTGGGCCCTGTCTGTCTTGGACCCTGTCACACCGCAAGCAGAGTTTGTTTGTGTTTGTTGCAGACTTCTGCCCTAGTGAAGAATGGCTTAGGGCCTGTTGGGTTGCACAGCTAGGGTAGGGTAGGGTTAAAGCACACGGATTAGAAATTTTGTCGCATTTCGGATACAACCGAGGAGATTTCCTGTTCCCAGGTCTTGCAGAATGTGTTCAGTGGACTCAATTCTGGACCCAGGTCTGTCACCAGAGTGACTGCACATGTATGGGCATCTCTGCCCCATGCTGGTAAGCCGAGCTTGACTGGTTGGTTATAGAGTATTCGGCCAATCAACAGAGCTGGCCATTGCAGATTCTCTTGTCACAGATTGGGACATCCATTCTCACCATATGAATGATATGTGTACCTTCAGCTCATAGCTGCAGCACTGGTGGCTATATCATCACTGGCATTGCTAGTCACTAGTCCTCCCCTGATCCTCATCTCTGCAGATAAGACAGTCTCTCAAAGAACATGACATAGCAGCATACTGCTCATTTGACCACCAATTCAGTGGGAGGTGAATAAACCAAGTGGCAATAAGTAAACCACATAACCCATCGCAGGTCTGACATCCACATTGACTTGTAATGGCATGATGGTCTCGCATATGAATGAAGTTAGGTTTGGCAACCCCACCTCTCAGTGCTTACGTAAGCAAGCTCACACTTAGAAACACAGTCTCTGGCATCCGTTGGCCAGTTGGATGTATTGACGTGCTCTATTGCGACATACTGTGGCTCACTGAAGAGTATGCCACGCGCATGTGGCATTCTCAGCCATGCATTGCACAAACACTTGGGTTCCTTGCTGCACTTCAGTGTCACGCCGTAGTAATACGGCTCAGAGGGACGCATTCATTGCCATCCACAGAACAGTCATAGCCGTAAATTTACGGCAAGCGTGCATAGTGAACACCGTCCATCCTCTCTTGTATCTACAGCTGAGTCAGATGTTGTATCTACAGCTGAGTCAGATGTGGTCGAGCGTGGCCGCGCTGCTGCAGCAGATACGCCTCTCGCTCAACGTCTCCAATGAGCAACAGTAGCCGATACTGCTCTGTGATCTCCTGCATCACCCACACATCCGCCCCTTCCGTTAAGATCCTCTCTCCTTTGAAGTGGCCTTCGACGATGGCATTCATCGTATTCAGCTTCTCCCTCCATGCCGGCATCCGGCGATCACAGAGCTCTCTGAGCGCTGCAAGCTCACTCCATATTCCCTGAATGGCCTCTTCCAACAACGAGTCCTCTTGTCTCATTGCCTCGATCAGGCGCGTCGCTCGCTCCCTCAGGACCGAAGTCTCCACAATCACTGCCGGCAGGCGTAAGTATTTATCATGGTGACCACAGCAGCCAGTACGCTCACCCATCCCATTGACAAGACCCGGCATCTGGCCCGTTTGCTGCAGTCAGCCCCTACGCCTAGGCAACGAAACTCAGCAGACAAACCTGGCTTGTGACACTCGCAGACTTGGGCATGTCACTGCCTCTCTCAGTTGTGGGGGTTGTCATATTGCGCGTCGAGATCAGGACAGCTACACTCCTCCCTCATTTTGCCTCCTTTCCTTTTATGTTACTTGCTTTCGCTGACCATGAGGTTTCCTCCAGGCCGTCCCCGTGCCAGTGCCGGTCTTGACTTACGGCGATCTTCCCCATCTGTTGCCGACAGTCATGTGATCTGCACATCCTGTCTGCGGGCTGTGGCAAGGGACTGTCTCAACTCTTACACCGAGTGCAGGTCTTGGGCCGTAATATTACGGCGCAGCCCCTTGTGGGAACAGAATGCGCGCGGGCGCCTTAAAGCTCTCGTAGCGTAAAACTACGGCGAGTACAGCGTCCAGGCACAGAGCGATGGGAAGTACATACAGCTACCCCTCTATATCAGGAATTGGAAATGGCCTGAAGTAGCCGCGATGCTCAAGACGTCTTGCTTCTCGCTCAGCATCACCTGCCAGAAGCATTACATGGCACTGGTCCATGATCTCACCCAG